AACCCGAAAATGCGTCTGTCGCCCTTCTATGAACTCTGCGTTCACTCGACACTGTTCGGCTCTCGTCTCTCTCGCTTCCTGCAGAGTGCACACGGCTCCCCACTTACTCCCACCCCTCTACCTGAGACTACTTCAGGGTTCACTGGAGCTGTAGTACATATCAATACCATATCAAAAATAATGACATAAACCTCAAAATACAAATAAAAAGGTTGTGCATTTAACTGACACACATCACATACTTTGCAGGCATTTGTATACATTCTTGAACACATTAAACATTTGCAATTAACTATCAATATTAATGAACAAATTGAAATAATGAGCTACTTATATAGCCAGGGCTACACCCTCCCCCTTCTGAATGTCCCCATCAGACCTATTTTCATTAGGCCAGTTAAAATCTCACTAAAGAGTACTGGCTAGGGCATTAACATTTAGGAGTCAGGGTCGTAGCAAATCTGAATTACCATACCTCGGTAACTAATAGTCACAGGTCTGTCAGTGGGCCTTCCAAGTTCATCATAACTGAGGCGCAAAACAGGTCTCACTCTCCTTTTTGTTTGGAGGTTATAGGTTGAGTCAGCACCCCCAACTGAGATACTAGGTGTAGGAACATCTCTGTCCTCCAGCTCTTCAGCCTCCACCAAGTCTTGGTGTTGCTGTGAACTTTCCTCCGTCTGATCTACTACTACTGAGAGTTCTTCCCCCTGTTCCTCCACCTCGGACAATTCATGAACACTGGGATGATCACTTTCCATATGGTCAGGAAGGCTCACAACCTCCTCACGTCGAGGTTCAACACTGTCGCGAAAGGCTAAAGGAGGTTCATAGTAGACACACTGTTCTTCAGACTCTGAGGACCAATCATCTTCACTCAGATGCTCCAAATTTTGTGTCTGACTTTCATCTTCACACCTTACTTGCTGTGCCCTGGTCCTTGGTCTCTTTGGTCGCGCTGTCTTTTCTGATGGAGCAGACATCCTGACCATGTAACCAATGGGCAGCAGGTGATCCCTATGCACGGTCCTCACAATACCAGTTCCTCTCTCTGGTTTTACACGATACACAGGGAGATTGGGTAACTTGGCAATCACTATGTAAGGTAGTGAGTTCCATCTGTCTTGTAGTTTGTGCTTTCCTGTGAGGCCCAGATTCCGAACCAGCACCCGATCACCTTCCTCAAGTGTCTGATTCTGAACTCTCGCATCATACAGTCTCTTGTTTCGGTCATTGTTCCTGGAAGCTGCATCAGCGGCTAGCTGGTAAGCTTTTTGAAGTTCTTTTCTCATGTTAGCCACATACTGGTGGTGCTTTAAGTCATTTTCTTCATCTGACCCCACACCAAAACACAGGTCAATGGGTAGTCGCGCCTCTCTTCCAAACATGAGGAAGTAGGGCGAGTATCCTGTGGCATCATTTCTAGTGGTGTTGTAAGCATGTACTAGCTGGCTTATATGCTGGCTCCACTTAGGCTTTTTAGCTGAATCCAGGGTGCCCAACATTGCCAGCAAAGTACGGTTGAAACGCTCAGGCTGCGGGTCACCCTGAGGGTGGTAGGGTGACGTTCGGGACTTACGAATGCCCAGCAGGGTCAATAGCTCCTTAATGAGCTTGCTCTCAAAATCTCTACCCTGGTCTGAGTGAATGCGAGCCGGCAATCCATAATGCACAAAGAACTTTTCAAAAAGGACTTTGGCGACAGTCAGTGCTTTCTGATCTTTTGTGGGAAATGCTTGAGCATACCTGGTGTAATGATCAGTGACAACCAGCACATTAGCCATGCCTTTAGAGTCTGGCTCAATAGAAAGAAAGTCTATGCAGACCAGGTCTAGAGGGCCATTACTGGTAATGTGCTGTAAAGGGGCAGCTTTCTGTGGGATGGACTTCCTAGCTACACACCTTCCACAGTTCTGTATGTATGTTGCAACTTCAGATGCCACTCTGGGCCAGTAAAACCAGTCTTTAATGAGCTCTGTAGTTCTTTCTGTGCCCAGGTGACCAGCATCATCATGCACTGATTTTAGTACCATTGGCCGATACTTAGCAGGCAAGACGATCTGACTCACTTCTCGACCAGAGGGTCTTGTGGTGACTCTGTACAGAAGGCCACGCTTAACCTTTAACTTGGATCTTTCTCGTATCAGCAACACAACATCTGGGTTTGCATGCGTGGAAGCTGAAACACTTTGGTTTCTCTCAACCTGAGGTTTCACCACACCTATAACTGGATCAGAGTCTTGGGCTTCTGACAGTTCTTTCAGGCTTAGCTGTTCCAGCGGGCCCACTTCTATCTGAGTGAAGTTTGCATATAAAGCTGGAATGGCGTCTGGCGAAACTCCCAGCTGGTCAACAAATCTGGTGGTGTGTTCTTGAAAACCATCTGTAGTGATCCGACGACACAAAGCTTTTACCCCAGAAGGTGGGATATCCACCCATCCATCTGTTGTGTCTTGCGGACTCCTGGACAGTGAGTCGGCATCCACATTTTCACGGCCGGGCTTATATTGAATGCTAAAATCATACAAACCCTAATGCTGGTGTGCTAAGCTGTGCAAATCTGTAAACAAAATACTCCTTTAAAGAACAAACTAGAAAAGTTAAGCACGGGAGCATCCCAGCGGTGCCTCCATAATTGTGTAACACCCGTCCCACGTTCTATTGAGAGGGGCCCTGGGTTCCTGTTGTTACTTTCCTATTGATACTCCCTTTTTAATGCTTATGGTATTAAATATGTAATAAAACTACACTATATGGAAATAAATCACACACAAGCAGGTCAATTATAAAGTTAACTCCACTTTAGTGAATGCTGAATTAACAACACAAAGAAAATAAGTAAAATCAATAAAGTTTGTTAAACAATGATAAGGTATCTACCTCAACAGAAACAAAATAATCAAATAATATTGTGGGCCCACACGCACTCTCACCAAACACACACACACACCTCAAGTGCTACAGTCTTTCTGCTAGCAAACCCCTCGTTGCAGGCCTGAGTCGTGGCTCGGGTGCGTTGGGACCTAAAACAATATGGTCGCTTCACTTGTTGCCAAGCAGTAAAAATAAAAAGCACGTGCAAACAACAGTACTCACACCTCCAGGCAGTTCAAGGGGATAGCGGGGAAACTGGGTTACGGCTACCAGTAGGCCGCGGCAGCAGCACTCACAGTCGTCCTTTCCACGTGCTCCCACGTGAACACATAACTTCAGCACACCAGCAGAAGGGACCTCTCTGACCACCAGCAAGACGTCCGTCTCCTCCTACTGAATCACACAACTCCGCTAAATGCCAGTTCACATGCGATAACATTCAATCTTAGCATTAGCTTAATAAATAAAAACAGAGCAGAACAAGAGCTTAGCGAATATGCTAGGCTACGCTAGCGGCTATGTTAGCAGTTGTGCTAGCGGCTGTGTTAGCGCTAATCCGTTTTACACAATAACATTGGGTACAAGTGTCAGACAAAATCCACCTTTACCTCACAGTAGGGTACAACAGTTCTCGACTCCAGTTAACTATCCGTTAACCCGAAAATGCGTCTGTCGCCCTTCTATGAACTCTGCGTTCACTCGACACTGTTCAGCTCTCGTCTCTCTCGCTTCCTGCAGAGTGCACACGGCTCCCCACTTACTCCCACCCCTCTACCTGAGACTACTTCAGGGTTCACTGGAGCTGTAGTACATATCAATAGCATATCAAAAATAATGACATAAACCTCAAAATACAAATAAAAAGGTTGTGCATTTAACTGACACACATCACATACTTTGCAGGCATTTGTATACATTCTTGAACACATTAAACATTTGCAATTAACTATCAATATTAATGAACAAATTGAAATAATGAGCTACTTATATAGCCAGGGCTACAGACAGATTTGGAGATGAGAGCAGCCAACTGGTGGCGGATTTGCTGCTGAACAGCAAGAACAGTTTTTGCGAGACGTATGCTGTGCCACAGCAGCTTCCCGAGGACTTATTATAATACATCCATAGCACTCACAGATGTGACAGGGCACTACATTGATCCTGGATTAGAGAGATGAGATTCACTGAGGTGACCAAAGCAAAGAGGAGGAGGAGGTAACTGGTATGATGTGTGAGAAATAAATCCAGGGAGGGAGTGTGAAAATGTGGAGGAGAGAGAAATCTTAATGGAGGAGAACAAAGAGAGGCTGAGCGGATCAGATCTCTTCTTGTGTTTTATCCCTGTGAATGCTAGCACCACAGACAGAGAAAGACCCGTCTTTGCGCCTTTTTACCCCCTGAAGGTGCACAGATATGGCGGCGTAAAAAATCAGACCGTCTAGCAATTTAATGATCTACAACCAAAGCCTGAAGAGTGTTTCTGGAGATCTGATGGGTCATACGATCAAAATGACTGATGTCATCCTGAATTTGCACATTAGAAAGACGTTAAAGAAAGGAAAGGAAAAGGAAAGAGGCTCATACAGGAGATGGCACATTGTGAACATAGACAAGCAGTCCTGTGTTGGAGATAATTTAAGCCTCACACTGACAAACTTCCACCCATCATTACACAGGTTGTGTTTCACCACCTCAGTCGTGTGGCAGCGGCAGCATGATGCAGGTCATTTGGCTTCATGTCTGCAGACTCCAGAGGTGAATGTAAAATCTGAACAAAACTCACTGAAGTTTAGCTCAAAGGTTTGACATTTTTTTCTGTTCAGAGAAATGGAATGTACGTAGAGACTATTACATGTGTGGTGAAACACATGTAAACATATTTTATATAATATAGTGCGCTGAATTCATTATTTATTTTGACACTTGGTGGCAGCACAAGCCTTAAACACAGCACCGGGATGTTATCAAAGATGGTGTGCAGGGCAACATTAGAGCTCATTTTAAATCAAGTTTCCATACAAAAACAAAAGCAAGGACAATAATCGGTGTTATCATTATTGTTTTGATCTCTACAAATATCAGAGATCACCAATCAAAGATTCACTAATTAGTTCACTCATGGGAAGATACGTTATTACAGAAACTTTAAATCAACAAATCTGAGTTTATTTGAATGTAAAATCACATAGTGTCTCAATACGGTTTACAAGGATTATCACACAGGTCATTTTTAATAAGGATAGTACAACCCTTTTAACTATCAGTTAAACAGGATCTATTATGTTCATTTCCATCTCCATAATATTAACTAGAGTAACTTTGCATTATTCACAGCTTACCATATACTGGGGGCTTAGCTACCCCTTACAAACAGTTCATTTGAAGCCAGAGCTCTGTGCCCAAGATGGCCATAATATTCATATACACTCTCTATGACATCATTCAGACCCAAGAGTAGAAAAAAGATGTCTGAAACTTGGCTTTTTACATACTTTGACCTCATTATTTGAATCCTGGCTATGTTTAACATGAGCATCCACCATCATAACAATATATGTAACATAACAATGTGTACATATGTGACAGAACACAAGAAAAAGCAAAATAAGCACACATATTGAGTTACATGTGATTAATCAGTGAGACTGTATAAACACTTCTTGGCCACCCTGACCATGCTCATAGTGTCCCTTGGTGCGTAGAGATTCCCAGTTTAAGATAAACGGAGGCAGCTACATAGGATAATACGCCCAGCAGCATGTTTCACTGTGGGGACGGTCTTCTCCAAGTCTTTCTCCAAACATAAGCTGTGTCTGTCTGTGGCCCTAGTTTTGTGTCAGCTGACCAAAGGATGCGCCTCCAGTGTTTCTCCAGGTTGTCATTAGCGTACTTCAGTCTGGCTTGAAGGTGTTTCTTTTGCAGAAGTGGAGCTCTTCTGCAATCTCACAGTCCAGGGGTGCTGAGTCCTAGTGACTGCAATAGCATCCAGAATTGGCTAAGTCATTCGATAGTGTCTTGGCAGTGTTTCTGGGATCTTTAAACATCACATCACATTTTCTTTCCAGAGTATTGCTTGTTCTGTTCTCTGTGGCTCTCTTTGACCTTCTTCACGATACCTCTCTCTCCAGTTCTTGAAATGCTGTAATAACTTTGTATAGTCATGCCATGCTTTGCATCGGCGATTCTTTTTCTCAAGTCTAAACTGATTTCTTTTGGCTTTTGGCATGATGCTTTCTCAAGCAACAGCTCAAACACTGCTGAGGCTTTAATACTCTGTGTAAATTGATTTTGGTAATTCTTTGTTATTTTCTGAAATAATTTCGTTATTGGGTGCAAACAGAAATAATCTACGCTTTCTTAAGAAAACTAGTTTGTTTAGAAAAGCTATGCGGAAAATCCCCTGCTCTGTTAAAAAAGGCGCTTGGGAAAATTTTGACAAAAACTTTAAATCTTACAGGGCGGCTGATAATTTTCTCCTCATCTGCATAGACTGAGGAAAGCATTTCATAGAGAGGCTTTAAAGACACCAGCCTCTTATAAATGCTGTGTCATGGCTTTACTATGAGTGCAGACGGCTCGTGTTTATTTTTGGCAGCCTGAGTCCGTAGATTGTTGGTGTGGGGTTCGCAGATGACAGGGATGCCATGGATGCCAAAACCAGGTTTGCTATTTATATTCAAGACTTTTATGTATTATTTGACCAAAAATACAAGTAGAAAGGAAGTGTGTGTTGTGTCACAGGTCAAGAATAGTGGGAGTGTCTTGTATTTTGAGGATTCGGCAGGACATACACTGGGTCCAGACTGTCTGGGTAAGGCTGGCTCCTAAGAAAGAAGGGGTCAGTTTTGCCATGGTAGGGTGTGGCAGTGAAATTCCACAAGAGTGCTTTCAGTTCAAATTCATGATGTCTCAGCAGCAGAGTAAGTGCAGCACCTGGGTTGGGAAACTTGTGCATTACAAATTTACCTTTTCTATAGTTTTAAATATTAAAAATCATAAACTGAGGCAAATAAATAACTTAAACCAATGCCAAATAAGGATTGCTAGGCCCGCGAGTTACTGGGCCTATGTGAGGAGACGAATCTTATCCTCTGGGAATAGATCAGGTCAGCCAAATACAGTCCAAAGTTGACGAAGGAAAACACGGCCACCACAACCTTGCTGTCCCACGGACACTTCCCCTGTGGACAGGACGACGGTCTCCATGGGGAGCCGTATTTTGTGTCAAAGCAGAACACTGGCCACACCACTGATGCACTCAGGTAGAGCAGTACTTCGAGGAGGGTGCACACTACCACAAAGCGGTCAAAGGGCATGCAGCACACAGCCTTGGTCCGCTTGCATACAGTCATTATGATCACCAGTGCTGTGAGAGCAAAACAGAAAGCATAGACAACAACACAGTAGATTGTGCCTGCATACTGGGAATACTGACTCCGGTTGGCCAGTGCACCAAAGATGATGCAGGCTACAAAGCCCTGAACAACTTTGAGAAGGCCGGACACTGTGGCCATATAACCCGTCACAATCTGGCCTGGTCTTGCTCTGCACAAGGCCACTTCCGCCCCGTAGGCCAGAGTCCCCAGGATGGAGCAGACGGTGACGGCAATGCGGAAATTTCTGACATCACAGCCAGCGTAAGGGCACTCGGATTGCACAAAGAACAGAGGGTAAACAACAGAGGCCGTCACATACCTGCAGAAGAAGGAAAGAAAAGCTATATGAGTTTATTAAATCTGAGAAAACCAGAGTTACATTTACAACTATGTCTGTAACGTCTCATAAGATACACTATATAAAATATACACTGTGCAGTCTTTAATAGGTCAGCAGGAACCTTTGTTTTATTTTCTAAGTTATGGCATTAAATTATGAGTGAGGCTGACCCTTAACCTTCCCATTATAACTGCTTTGGTATAACTGGAAACAAGTTTCTGACTGCAACAAATTTGCAAAATGCTGTTTTCGAAAGTCTCTTGGAGCTATTTCTAAACAATTGCAGATTCTAAGATCATCACTTCAAACAACTGTACCCATGTACAAGTTATTTATTCGTATCATCACTTTGCAAAGGTCTGGCCAAGGTACAGCTTGCTAAGGGACATTTAACCAAATATTAGTAAAGATATATGCAGATTTTTCAGCCTGTATGTATAATTTTGATCCTGTATGGATCCTGTAGAGGATCAAAAGTCCCGTAAAAAAACCTCACACAGTGACAGTAGTGTGATTATGTGCCCAGTATTGCAATGAAAGGTTAATGTTCTACCTCTGTTAAAGCTGTGACTCTTTCAGCCACATAGGTAAGAGTTGATTAGAGGTGTGTTTACACAGGAAGTCAGTCCTAAAATCAGTCTGGCTTTAAAGATGGCTGTAATCAAGAACAGTTCAAATATCCCTAAAGTCTCACAATTTAACAACACCTGATCCAAGTGTGTTTAGCAGTAAAGACCAGGTTATAAGATCTCAAACTGCAATATTTTTTATCTAGTCAAAACTATGTAGGTTTCTTTGTTTGTGCTTTTTTAAACACAATACACAATAGGTGGTAGAGTCAGATCCCTGACTCCTTATCAGTGCGTGTGTGTGTGAGTGTGTTAGAAAGCGATTAGACGTTAGATAAAAACATGGTATAAATGAGTGTTTGGGTGTCAGTGGGTGAATGACACTTGTAGGAAATAATAATAATAATGGATTGGATTTATATAGCGCTTTTCAAGGCACCCAAAGCGCTTTACAATGCCACTATTCATTCACTCTCACATTCACACACTGGTGGAGGCAAGCTACGGTTGTAGCCACAGCTGCCCTGGGGCAGACTGACAGAAGCGAGGCTGCCATATCGCGCCATCGGCCCCTCTGGCCAACACCAGTAGGCAAGTAGGGTAAAGTGTCTTGCCCAAGGACACAACGACCAGGACAGAGAGCCCCGGGATCGAACCGGCGACCTTCCGGTTACAGATACGCTTCCCAACCCCCTGAGCCATGGTCGCCCTGACTGCTCAGCTGAGTAGAAACATTGTATATAAGTCCTGTTCATTTTCCATAAACTTGATGTGGTGAATATTTGCTGCGTTTATTCATTTAGCACATCCAGTATAGCAACAGAAGCATTTATCTGGAGGGACACTTGATGAATTGAGTCCAGTATTCAACTCACATTTCAGATCTGCCTGCTAAGTAATGTAGTTTTTAGAAAAAAGGCATCTTTTCACCTATGTACACAAATATTTAGCAGCTCAGTGCCAACCTTGCCTGTGCAAAAAGTGAGTGCAGAGCATATAGAAGATTTATCAAAATCGTCTTTTAACCGCCTGATGCTGGAAAACACTGACGGTGATAAGCAACAGTTGCTAACTGTAAAAAAAAGTGCAATGGAAAGTGCAAAAATATTTCTTAAAGCTGGAGAAAACTGTAGTCGAATGATAATCATCTGCTGTTCATCACTGAGCAGCAGTTTTACATTATTAATTGTCATTTTTTTCCACCGTTGATTAAATAGCAGATTTAATTAATTAATTCTTGCGAGAATTTGCCAGTGGGAGACGTTAGATCATGGTGTGCATATATTTTTATTGTTTCTTCATTTAAAAGGACTCAGAAGATAATGTTTGTTTCTTTTTATGCAATAATTCATCCGTTAGATGTATTTGGGTATTTTTGTTGGGTGGATATTAATTTGCTGCATGTGAAAAAACTGGTATGACGAGTGAAAGGTGGTCAAAATGTAACTTCCAGTTCAAAGGTTGACTCTGTGACTTACATGAGCGTTGCAAAGGCAGCACACGTGACTGTGAGGTTGTCCCAGGATACGGGCAGGTAGCTGTAGAGACGAGTTGCATCCAGGAAGAACACCAGCACTGACATGGCGAAGCAAAAACACCATGCCGCCATGCAGAACACGCCGTGTGAGCCACTGTAGCCAGCAGTGTGGGTCACCATCGCGATCACAGCACAGCCCAAAGCTAACTGACATAGCCGGGCTGCACCCAGAGGTGAGCAGAGAGCCTTATGGTTGAGATAGGGACCGCTGTGGGAATCCATGACAGTCCAGGAAGTGTACAGTGAAATATTCAAGACAGAACTTCTTTAGGGCCTCAGAATTGGCAGAATTTATGATGATGAGGAGTCTTTTATGATCTCAGGTTATCTGACTGAATCCCTCCGCTTCATGACATCTGTGGGGAAAAGAAGCAAACAAGAAAGAATCCCTCTCACAGATCTGAAACACTAGTATAGCTTCACTTTAAAAATAAGCTTATTCTGCGTTTACCTCTCTTGTCTCATGAAGCAGCCTTTGTCTCTCCATTAGTGCTCTCATCATTCACTTTAAGTCTCCGCTTTGCATCCCTTCAGACAAAATTAAACCACTGACATGTGCGTGGAAATCACCACTGCCTCCAAACTTAGAACGCCACTAATGATGAATGGATGCCTCTGCTTTCAGCTCAAACATCCGGTAAATGTGTGTTAAGGCATCAGACGCTCAGGTATTTTGAATTATTCACTCTCATCTCTCTCTCTCAGTCGACTTGATGAGGACAGTCGTACTTATGTGTTGATGAATCAGAGCATGTCACCAAGTGACGTGGGGGGAGACACTTTTTTGAGGTCTTCTGTCAGAGCTCAAGCAGCCAGCCAGGCAGGCAGGCACACACACACTCACCTTTCTTCTGAGAGTTTATCCTGATTATTCCAAAATATACAGACTCAAAACCAGGAATGAAGTCGTGAGGACTGTTTGAAAATCTCCTGTAGAGCCTGATGAGCCTCTTCCTACTGGACCACATCAGAACCAGGTCCGCGCAAAACTCTCAGCTGATTCAGAGCCTCCTCTTGACTCTCGGATCATTTATGCAGACTCTGGCATGTTCGGTCTCATCCTCGTACTTTCCCTCTGTCGCACCCTCGCGCTTACTTTCTCCTCCCATGTGCTCCGGGGACGGGGTGCCATTGGTCTGTCAGACCAGAATGGAAGTTATTTGGGGTTGGGCCATCACCAAATGAGTGTTGGAGGGTTGTGTACATGTGGTTGGGCGTGGAGCTGAAGCATGCAGACACATTGCAGACCCTGTGGAATGAGGTGAAATAAATGACCCCAGTGAAGCTGAAACCCAGAGACTGAATAACAAAACAGGTTAAATATCTGACTCACTAGTTAAATCAATCAATTTAATACAGAACCATTAAATGTCTTGGTGAGCAGAAGCAGCATGACCACACTCTCAGACAATAAAGTGCTTAACATTTTAGTTTTATGGTATATGGGACTTTTTGAATCTAGCTATACTGCACATTATATTTCTAATATCTGCATTTATTACCAACTGATAATAACCAAGAGCGAGCAAATGTTCTCGAGGAGAATTGAACTCAAAAGTAACTTTCTGTAATAATCATCATCATTATGCAGATATAAAAGACAGATATAGAATGAAACTGGTCACAGTGGATTAAGTGCTAAACGTGTACCTTTTGGGATCTCAGAAACAGAAACATACAAAGTTACTTTAAGCTCAAATAATCAGCCCTAGATGGTTGATTTGCATAGCTTGTATCTTAAGCCTTCCCTTTTTTGTGCACCTATTGTTTTCCCTCATTTTTTAACCCAGTGTTTTGTTATTTCATTTCGTATGTGCCAGAATCAGTATGGGGGATGGATGAGGACCCAAACACAGGATGGAGGAGGCATATCTAAAATGTGTCCAAATGGGAAAAAAAAAAAAACACAGACGCAAAATATTCACAATCAAAAAGGGAAACAGCAACACACCAATGGAGGAAATACATACACACAAAGAGATGACTACACAGCAGGAGACAGATGGCCAACAAAGCACAGCTGAACTTAATTAAGGCAAGTAAAGACAATCAGGGAAGCGAGGAAGGCACAGACAGGAAGCAGAACTAACATATAACACACAGGTGTCAAACTCCAGGCCTTGAGGGCCAGTGTCCTGCAGGTTTTAGATGTGTCCTTGATCCAACACAGCTGATTTAAATGGCTAAATTACCTCCTCAACATGTCTTGAAGTTCTCCAGAAGTCTGGTAATGAACTAATCATGTGATTCTGGTGAGTTGACCCAGGGTGATATCTAAAACCTGCAGGACACCGGCCCTCAAGGCCTGGAGTTCGACACCCCTGATATGACACATTAAAAAAAAAAAATCTTAAAAAACCCAAAAGACACCTGTAAACCCTGATACAAAAGAAGCTGAGGGATCTAAACACACGACCAACAACTTTAAAACATTAAATGGAGCTTAATAAAATCCCAGAATTCAAAACTAACACGAGAACAATACATGATCTAAACCAGTACAAAAGGTTCAGAACTCAAAGTTTACAAAAAAGTATTACAGCTCAAAAAAAGAACAAAATAAACTAAGAATAATTTAAGACCTCAACTGGAACAAACCCAGGCAGAGAATAAAACTTGGGAATAAAAATTCAAAACCAAAGACCATGACATGGAGGATATACACAGTCCCCACATCCTAAGATGATCCCCACTCTGGAAGAAACACAGTGACCTGGTACTCACATGCAAACAGGAGTCTCAAGGACTGAAACACAAAGGGTTCAGTTTTAAGTTTAGCAATAGTACAAAATAAAACATATATATATATATATATATATATATATATATATATATTATATATATATATATATATATATATATATATATATATATATATCCTAAAATATTAAAAATTCATTATTTCTTCTTTTTTATTACTATATGGACTTGATTTAATAAAACATGACAGTCAATCATTCTGAATATTGGTGTTGGAAATATCGCTATATAAATATGAATAAATATGTAATACATTCTCAGTCTTGCTATTACAGCTGACATAAAAGCCGGATGTTATCTAGTTACCCAGCAGACCTGGGCTCATTTCAGAGGGAGATTAATTCATTAATTAACTATGTTGAGCTTAAATGTTGAGCTTAAAGTCAGAGTTTTCAGTGTCATGAAGGTTGGTCTCCTTTTACCTGGCTGAGCTAAAATTGTAACTTGTGTTACCATAATGATCTTGTTGGCAGCTTATTATGTTCAGTTTCATTTAAAATAATGTGGAAGAGCATTTTTTTTAAATACCTAATCTTGTATTTACAGTACGTTTTATGGGGACAATTCTCTGCTGAAGCAAGCGGTTTATTAAATCCAAGTGTTGACATGTGTCCTACACTGCAGAAAGAAGATGGGCAGCAGCAGCAACTGTGCTGATGATGAAGCAGAAAGCCTAAGTTAATACAGAAAGTAAAAAAAAAACACAATACTGAGATACCGATTATTGTCTCTGGCTGAGTTTTTAGGTTTTGTCGAGTCAAAGAAAGTCTGGCTTTGCTGAACTTTCTCTGTAGTACCCCTCAGGTCTCCTCTGACATGCATGGTGAAAAGAACACCCAAGTGCTGCACTGGCAGAAGTAACTTTTTGTCCTTATTATTAAAGCTGCAGACATCATGAAATCCTGTTTTCATTTTTGTTTTTTCAGTGTTCGCATTTAACCAAATAAATCTTGACTATAAAAAATAACTGAAGAGTTTAGGCACCACTAGTCATTGCCAGGATGAGGTATAGATGGATGGAGATGCTGTAACATCACCCACTGGTTGTTGAAGTCTCATTAAGAGATTTCAGCTAATTGTTTTCACCTTATTGTGTGGATGCCTTAATAGGCATCCACACTATTGAGTTTCTGTTTCTCTTTATTCTTTATTATTCCGGGTGTTTCCGTACACTTTTTGCCGTGGATCTACTTCCACAATTTTTGTGCTATTTTCACCGTTCAAACTCTAAACTGTTCTGCTCTTTCTGCTAATGCCGGCTATGACTTTTGGTGTTTATTACTATTATACTTTTTAAAATATTACACTTTTTTCCTTTAATTTGTCCCATTGAAATGAATGGGAAACTTCCACAATTCTGCTAAAACTTTCTTGTCTTTGAAACTTAACTACTGCCTCATACTTTCACCTAGAAACTTCATTCAAACTTTAAAATGTTCTCAAATGATTTGGCTATTCCTGTATGATTCAGCTTTTTCAGATCTTCTACCGTTTTAATCTTATCCCTCTTTGAGTTTTCAGTTGCAAAATTGTGATTTTTCAGAAAATACATGCGTTGCTATGGTTGCTATGCAATTAACTCAGAGGGGACAGTGAAACTGTTTGAATTTTCTCTTCATGTCCAAACAACTTCTTGCTACTCGCTCAATTTCCACTCAAGCCCCACACATTATACATCAAAACGTAGGTATTTTTGCTGGCTTTCAGAAAATGTCACTATCATTGTTGTGGGACTTATAGATTTTTTGCAAATCTCCTCAGAGTAACACAAAGTCAGAAAACTCTCCATATAAACTCAATGGAGAGTTTGTTCAAAATCACCGCTGGATTTCTCTAATGAGAGGCATTTTCAAATTGTCATATCTCCTTAACGAAGCGAAGTTAAGACATGAGGCTTGTCCCCGTATATGTTCAGACACTCCTGACGCTCACAATTCAAGAATTTCTTTCTCACCTATTACCGTTCTGAAATGAGTTGGACTTGTTTGAGGGTAGGAAATTTGTCCCTCGCTCAGATTTCATCAGATTTCAATCTCTGGAAATGAACCACTTTTTTCTCTCGTCATATCTTTTTGATGGATTTCCACAGAGCCCTGAAAATTTCCATGACTGTTCACCAAAGCCTGCTGTTTCTTACGGTGAAAGAATGATTTTGATGCTCCATATAGATTTTGAGTTACCAAAGGTTGTTTGAGCGCAAGTCAAGGCAGTTTTTGCTTCGCCTCTACTCAGTTACAGTGTATTACAAGTCATATATCTTTAATAATTTATGTTTTATCTCTGAACTATGAAGACCTGAAGATTCCCCCATCTCTTCTGAATAAAACGATGCCTGAATGACCGTTCTAGCCTCTACGGTTAGGAAATTATGGCCATTTGTTCGAGGGGAATCCTGAATGTCAGAAATACACTGAAGAAAACTCACACCTCTCTCTGTGTCTGTGTGTGTAAGGGCTGACTACAGCAGGTGCAGCTAATTTAACTGACCTTCATATACCAAGCCCAGACTCTCCACAGCTCCTGTTCCCTTTACTCTCTGTGTATGTGTGTCTGTGTATCAATATTTCTCCTATGTTTAGGTATTACTCCTCAATCATAGTATTTCTGCTAAAGCAAAGTACTTCTACTACATCTTAGTACTTCTGCTAAATCATAGTATTTCTGCTAATTCATAGTATTTTTGCAAAATCATGGTATTTGTGCAAAATCATGGTTTTGGGGCCAAATATTTCTGTTATTTTATAATATATGTGCTGAATATATTATATGTGCCAAATCATAGTATTTATCCCAAATTATAGTATTTATGCCAAATTACAGTATTTCTGCTAAAACGCAGAAATAGTACCTTTTAGCAGGAATTTCTACCAAAAGATAGTACTTCTGCTAAATCAGAGTATTTCTGCTAAACCAGAGTATTCCTGCCAAATCATAGTATTTGTACTGAAACATGGTACTTCTGCCCAATCATAGTATTTGTACTAAATCATAGTACTTGTGCCAAATCATAGTATTTATACCCAATCATAGTATTTCTGCTAAATCATAGCATTTGTGCCAAATCATGGTATTTGTGCAAAAACATAGTATGTCTGCAAAACCATAGTATATCTCTTATGTTATAGTATTACTACTAAGGCATAGTATTTCTGCCAAATCATAGTATGTGTGCCAAATCGCAGTATTTATACCAAATCACAGTATTTGTGGTAAAACATAGTATTTCTGCCATATTGTGGTATTTGTGCAAGAACATTGAACTGTTATGTTATAGTATTACTACTAAG